TAAAACTATTCGGAATAAGGGTTTTTTGTTTAAATCCCAAGGGATAAAAATTCCTTTTTGGGTTTTTGGGTTAAAGGGGGTTTATGCACTTTTTTCAAAAATTTGGTTTGGAAATTTCTCAAAAAGGTTTAAATTTACCAAAAGGGTTTAAATTAAATTTTTTTACATAAAAAATTTGATTGTTACGCCATCCCTTGAAAACCTTTAAGGGGTTTTTCTTTTTTAAATTAAAAGAAAGGTTAAAGGGGAAAACCCCATTTTTTTTTAAAAAATTGTTTTTAGATTTGCTTTTTGACTTAAAATTTTGCCTGAATTTTTAAAAATTTTTCCCAAAAAAAAAACCGGGAAAACTATTTTTAAAAAAAATGTTTTTTAAAAAGTTTTTTATAAAAAACCAAACGGTTTTCAAATTTTTTCAAAAATAAAAATAAATCTTTTTTGAAAAATTCTTTTTTTTTAATTTAAAAGTTAAAAACCCCCAAATTAAAAACCTTTTTTGGTTTTTGTTGGGAAAAAATAAAATTTTAAATAGTTCAAAAGGTAATTTTTAAAATTTGAAATGGGGGTTTGGGAGAGGGGGGAGGGATTTTAACCTTTCCAAAATTATTTAATCCGAGTTTAATGAATTTCCCAACGGTAAAAAGGTATTTTCCTTCGGGAAAAAAAATTCTTTTAAGGAAAAGGTTTTTAAATGGGAAGGGAAAGGGTTTTCCCGGCCGTTTAGGTCCAAGGGAATTAAATAAGGAAATAAAGATTTTTTTTTCCTTTTTGTAACCAAATACCCATTTATAAAGGGAAACCGGGGTTCGGAAAAAGGGTTTTTAAAAACTTTTTTTAGTTTTATAAAACCAATTTTCTTTGTTTAAAATTTTTGAAGTTTTTTGGTAAAGTTTAAAAAGGGTAAAATTTTTTTTAAACTCCGTGTTTTGGAATTACAAAAATTTGTTTTAAATTTTAAAGAAAACGAAAATTTTTTTCCCTTTTTTAAAGAAATTTCCCCCCACCCCCCCATTAACCTTTGGGTGATAAAGTGTCCCCCGAAAACCCCTTTTTTTAACGGGTTCCCCTTTAAAGTTTGGCAATTGGAGTGTTAAGCCCGGGAAATTACAAAAAAAGAAAAGTTTTAAAAAAAAAATTTCTTTTAAAATTTTAAGTTTTTTTTAAAAGTTATGGTTTTGTATTTTTTCCCAATTGTTTTTTCCCTTAAAAATTAAGGAAAGGTTAATTATGTTTTTGGAAAATTTTTTTTTTAAAAAAGGGAAATTTAAAAACTAAAATTTTAAAAAATTTTTTGGCCCCTTTCCTAATTTTTGTAGAACTTTCCTTTCAACCCTGGGCCGGTTTCTTCAATTAATGAAAGGTCCGAAAACTTTTTAAATGGGAAAAAAAAATCGTTTTTTTAAAAATTGGTAAACTAAATTTTTAAATTTTTCCATCTTTAACATTTTTAGTAAATTTAAAAAAATTTGGATGAAAACCAAAAATTTGGGAAAAGAAAAACTTTAATTTTTTAAAATTTTTTAATTTTGGGATAATTACTTGTTCTAACTTTTGGATCCCCTTTTTTTTAAATTTTTCTTTTTTGAAATTTATTTAAAGAATTTTTCCAATTTTGGGGGAAAAATTAAAATTTTCAGTTTAAAAAGCTAAAATTTTTAAATAAAAGAAAAAAGGGGAAAAATTATTTTTCAGGGAATTATTTTTTTTTTCCTTCATGAATTATATTTTAAAGGAAATTTTTAACAGGACTGAACCTTCTTTAACCATAAATTGAATCATCAAAAGGTGCTTAAACCCCTTTAATTTTCCGCAATTTCCCCAAAAAGTGATTTTTTTAAAAAGCTTTCGGGAAATTTTATTGGAGTGGGGGGTTTAATTTTTAAAAGGGTTACAAATTAAATTGTTTTTTGTGCTCTAATTTGATTTCTGTGGAAAAATAAAAACTCTAAAAAACTAAAATTTCTACCCAAAATGCCGCACGTTCGGTAAGGTTAGCTTTTGCCCTTAAATTTTTAATTTAAAATTTAAAATAATCCATTTTTTATAATCATTTTTTTTTTTAAATTTTTTTAAAGGAAGTTGATTTTCTGTATTTATTGTAAAACCCCTTTCAATTTTTTGTTACCAATGGGGATATCTAAAACCGAAGTTAATAAAATTTCTAATTTTGAAAATTAAAGATAAAAAAGGGAAAAAAAAAGGTGCATCCAGTGGTTTTTTTTTCATTCCCAGGAAGTTTTAATGGGGGTAGGAAATTTTTTGGGAGGCTCACGTTTACAGCATGCGTTTGGTACACGTTGTTTGTCCATTTATGGAATTGTCCATTTTGAACATCGTCCATTTATAGAAACCCGTCACCAAGTTAGATGCTTGAAAAATCATGTTAAAAAGCGCCCCTCACTACGTCTCATGTTTTAATTGATAATTAGTGCATATATAAAGAGGATCTTTACTCCACTGTTAGTCAAATTTCATTAATTTCCCATTCAAGCAACATGTATTCCACTACTGTGAAAATTGTCGTCTGCGTCGTGTTGGTCGGTGTGGCAAGTAAGTGATTTTCAGTTATGATACACTTCCGTTTTAGTTTCAGGCCAGGTCTTTTTCTTTTGTCTACAAAACTTTGAACAAAATTGTTAGCGATACAATTATATATTATTAACGTTTGAAAAGTAGAAATTCTAAAGCGATTCTTTATATTGGACATTTATCAACAATTGTACAAGGTTTCGGAAATAATTTTTTTAAGTCAACATATGTCCCAGAAAAACTAAAAGACATTTCACAAGTGAATAATAAAGAATCTTGCATTCTGTTAACCCCGAAAAAGACTTTTTCTGAGAATGCTTAAAAAACAAAGAACTGTTAAAGAGGAAATGTTAAACTATTTTCAGTCTCCGAAGATTGTCAGGTGACTTCCCGACTGTAGGGTCATGTGACCTGTCCGGAACGTTGACTATGTTGCTTACATGTGATCAAGAAATCTGTAGCTGCGTGCAAAGTTTAATTATTTCTGTTTATTTTTTCATGATTTTATAATCAATGTGTGACTCGTTTTCGTAAAATTTTTTGGAAAATTTTGATGTTTATTTTTAAAACAAAAAAACCCTTAAAAAAAATTTTTTAAGATTATGAAAAAATTTTTAAAAACTTTAAAAAACACGATTTTATCTTAAAATATTTTAAGGGGGCCGTTTCCTTTTTTTTTTTTTGTTTTTTTTCCCAAAAATGTAATAAATTTTTTTTAAATAAAGGAAAATTTAAACCGATAAAATTTCCCTTCATCTCAAAACTTAAAAAATCGTTTAGTTTTTGGCCCTCAAGATTAAAAATTTAATTAAAAATTAATTTTGGAGATTCTTTTTTTTCCAAACTTTTTTTTAAAAAAAGGGGGAATTTAATATTTTCCTCGGGGGGTTTTTCCCTTTTAAATTAAAAATTTTCATTAATGTTTTTTTTTGTCCTTTTCACCCACCCAACTTTTCTTGTTTTTTCCCCGGACCAAATTTGCCGGGAACTCAGTTCCCCCGGAAGTAACAATTTTTTTGGGTTTCGCAAATTCCTTTTGTGTTGACGGTACATGCGGGTTTGGGGTTTCAGGGGTTTTTGGGGCCTGCCCCAAAGGAGGGGGTGTTTCATCACCCAGGCGGGGGCCCGGGGCCCAGGGGCAAAAAAAACCTCTAAAAATTTGTTTTTGAAATTTGCCCGTCATTTATATGCTTGAAAATTAAAGTTGAATAAAAAAAAATAAAAATTTTAAAATTTATTTGAAATATGAAAGCTTGTTTAGTTTATAATAAAAAATGTTTTGGGGGATATTAAGACGTCCATTTTCCAAATTTTTTTAAAACCCAAAGCAAATTTACAAACATATTAAAGTGTTCCCGATTCAGGGGAAAATTTAAACCGAAGTTTTTCCCCTTTTTTTTCCCCCCGGGGGGAAATTTTTTTAAAATGCAAGGGCATCTCCCCCATTTTTGCCCTTAAAGCATGAATTTTAACTTTTGAGTGCGGTTTTTTAAAGGGGGATTTTCATAAAGAAAATAGCAAAATTTAAATATATAAAAAATTAAAATTTATAAAACCCCCCGAAAACGTTTTTTAAAATTTTGGTCTTTAAGTTTATTGGGGGTTTATCAAAAAAAGCCCAGTCCCCTAAAAAACAGTCCTTTTTTAATCCCATATAAAAAATGTAGACCAACTTTTTAAAAATATTGTCCTTTTTAAAATTATTCTATTTTATAAAAATTTGAATTTTTTTTGCCCAAACATTTGTTGGAAAATTTTTTAAAACCCGTTAAAATTTCTTTAGTTGGTTCAATATCCTACTAGTCTACTGGTACATATAATTTCTATCTGAAAAAGAGAGGAGGGGGTCAACAGATACACAGCGAAATATTATAAACAACTATTCATTTCAGTCACAGCAAAACAAAACTGTTCGCTGATTTCCCCATGCCTTACTCTGTGCCAGTTAATATTTATAAACTGACCACTTTCCTATGCCCGTGATCCAGTGCTCTTTTCGATTGGCGAAGACGGTCTACTTGTCCAAGAATGTCAATAGCAACATCCAATGTGTTAATATGGTTATTGAAAATTTCTCACATAATTGCCAGATGCAACCAAGACCATGTAATAAGCAAAGATACTGGTTGCTATGTTTTTACCGAAAGTATATTTAATCTGTAATATGATATTTATACATTCTAAACATAAATAAACAAGAAAATGTGAAGTTTTGTTGTATTGAATGTTTGTTATATTTGTAACTGAAAATATATATCTTTTTAGGTCGAATCAAGGCAACCAGCACCTTTTTGGATATTATCCTAAATTATTGTATGGAAAACAGCTTGGTCCACTGACAGACAACCACCATATCATTATACTATGTTGCAATACAAATTTTGACTGTCATATAAACTAAAAGAACACATTTTGAGTAGCCAACACAAAGAAAGCTTTTAAGTAATATCACTACTTTATTCTATGACAGAAAATATGGTTTGTAGAACAATGTAAAGTTGCCATAAATGCAAAATTGGGGAAAATATAAAATAATATTTGTCTTTAACAAAGAAAAATGATATTAAAACATAAAATAAAAGATAAACAAATATAATCAATTATGCAAGATAAGCTACAATAACAATTTAAGTCATTAACAAATATATAATTGCACAACCTTTAAAAACTAGAGAGATTACAATTTAGTAATTAAATTTCTTAGCACATCTTTTCATTTCTTAGCATATTAATTGATTTTTGTTCGTATTTTCAAAATAAAATTTATATGCATATTCAACATAGTTACATATATCAATGATAGCATTTTATATATTTTTTTCGTTTTTAACTTTGTTACACTTTCGATCTCTTTACATTTTTACTGATTTTTTAGCATATTTATACATAATTTATGAACATATTGATCAATTTGATATGAGGCTTTTCATGAGATAAATTCCTTGCTACTTATTTTATGCAGTTAAGATTTTCCTATAAATTTATAGTTTTTAGATTTAGATGCAACTCCTGTAGAACAAACTCTAGCAAAATCAACCAAAGGTCATGTTTGTAACCACTGCAGTAAATTCATATGTCAGTTTTAACCCTTATTCCATTTGAAAAAAAGTGATTCACCTTTACCATCGGTATAGAGCTTGGCGGGCCTGCATATCTGTTCTGTCTGATCAACCGTAATACTATGTTTAGCTCATTTATTTGAGCCGCGCCATGATAAAACCAACATAGAGCATTTGTGACCAGCATGGATCCAGACCAGCCTGCGCATCCGTGCAGTCTGATCAGGATCCATGCTGTTTGCTTACAAACCCTATTACAAGTAGAGAAACTGATAGCGAACTGCATGGATCCTGATCAGACTGCATGGAGGTGCAGGATGGTCTGGATCCATGTTGGTCACAAAAGCATTATGTTGGTTTTGTCATGGCACTGCTCATTTGTTTTTTTGATATTAAAGTTTCAATAGACTGTTCCAAATTTAAAACAAGACAAATCAATTACAACCATTCAGCAGGTTAAGGGTTAAAATATGTTAAAATAAGAACTTTGCAAACATTGTTAAAATATTGTTTAAAGCTGCACACCTCCAAAAGAGCCAAAATATTTCAAGAAATTTAATCTTTAGAAAAATTTATTAAGATCTTAAAAGTAAGTAAAAAAAAATTCAGTATTTAATTAATTATTTACATGTTATGTGCGCTTAATGACCGATTTTGCAGTATCAATCACTTATAATTCTAATGCATTACTAACACAGTAAGAGGTATCTTTGTATATTTTGACCTCTTTTAGATAATTTACGTGGATTGTAAGTGTTGTTTCCAATGTGTAAATTACTTTCTTTGTTCACTTGACAATATTTTACTTTTAAATGCATTTTCAAAACTTTCATGAAAATTTGCAAGAATCTGATGGCATTTTGCTTTTAAACAAATTCTTCACAACTGTATCAGCTAACAAATTAGAAATTGCAACCTCTCTAGTATCGTTTCATATAATGCTATAATCCATTCAGATCTATTTCCATAGGCATGAGGAAATCGTGCATTGCGTACTTCCACGTCCATAATCGTGATATTCTATCAAACTCTTGTCTATTTTTACTGTACAAGGACCCAATGGCTGGTTCCATGCACACATCACAATATGGGTCTGTCAATAAAGACTGGATACTTATTAGAACTTTAGATATAGTTAGAGCCAGGCTCCAGTTATAGTGTATAGAATCTAAGCCCACGTCTCCATGTCGACTAATATTAGGATGAAATATCTTTGTTATAAACTGAACCTTTGGGGGTCTCATTGGATAACTGTAATACAAAAAGAAAAAATATTTATTTAAATTAAATAAAACAGTATTGTAACTGTTACAAAAAAACAACTTATAAATGTATCTGATACAAAAAGAAAGAATCACGGGTGAAAATATCAGAGGTGGTATGCAAACCTAAATGTAAATTCTAAGTTGAAAAAGGGGCATAATTCTGTCAAAGTGCTTGATAAGTTACCTCTTCCTGTCTACAGGTTGGGGTCATGATGGTGAACAAGTGTGCAAAGTTTCAAAGCCATATGTCAATGGACTTTGAAAATATTTGAGGTGTTACAAAAACTTTAGCGTAAGTGGTTACGCTGACGCTCAACTATTCTTAATGCTTGATAGTAAAACTAGAACCCTGATATTGAGAATTTAAGAAGTTCTAAAAGGCCCATAATTCTATCAAAAGGCATGTTAGAGTTATGAGCCTTGAACAGTGACCTCCCATACTTTCAATTAAGTGAGTAAAAGTTTTAACCAATTCTCTACAGTAGTTATGGAGATACCAACTTGCATGCAAAAAAACCACAAAGTGGCAAAGTGTGATGCCGTCGCCAGGATAAGAACAATAGCTCTCCATATTAATCAAGCTAAAAATAATCATTAGATATATCACAAACCTGTCTGGAATTTGTAAATATAACAGGAACAAGCCACCCTCATATGGACTTCCTTGTGGTCCTGTGATAGAAGCCTGCCAGTGGCAACAGTGCCGGTCCAAAGGTTCAGCACGTATACCTTCTGGAGGATCAGACTTGAGGGTTTTAAGTTCACTCCTTAGTCGCCTATGTCTCCATGAATTCTCTTCTATAGGTGGCGTACTCTGAAAACATACTACTATTTGATAATCTTGCCCCTTTTCTCCCTAAAATAATCTTATTTTAATCTTTACCCTGCTTAGGCAACAGAACCTACCCATGTGAACAGTACAGACCAGGATCAGCCAGATCTTTGCCATCTGATCATGATCTGTACTATTCACTATCCAGTCAATACTTATTTGAGCCGCGTCAAGACAAAATCAACATAGTGCGTTTGCGACCAGCATGGATCCAGACCAGCCTGCGCATCAGTGTAGTCTGATCAGGATCCATGCTGTTCGCTTACCAACCCTATTACAAGTAAAGAAACTGATAGCGAACAGCATGGATCCTGATCAGACTGCTGCGCGAATGCGCAGGCTGGTCTGGATCCATGCTGGTCGCAAACACACTATGTTGGTTTTGTCGTAACGCTGCTCATTTTGATTTTACATATACAGGGTTGTCATTAACATTTTTTGCAGAAGGTTTGTTTTAAACTTGAGGCGGTCATTTCTGTCTTTATCATGCATAACAAAGAGTGTTTTCTTAATTTTGAGACGGCCCATAATGCATTTGAGACAGGCATTTTGGCCTCCTGCCGCCTCTTAATGACAACCCTGCATATATATTATAGGCTTTTTTCTAACTGACAGAACTGTTATAAATTTGAAATTTTATCTTGAAAATTCCTATAAAATATTTTGATTTTTCCAAATAAGCTTAACATTGGCATATATGACTTGTCAAGAAGAAATCCCATATATGTATGTGTACTTTCCTCTGAAAAAAGCTGAATGTTTTAAAATATATGGTGTTTTTTTTGGTCCAATCTTCTTACAGCAAAGGTTCAAATTGAAAACAAAGTGACAGACTGTCAGGACAAAAAATTATGTCAACCTCAGGTGGATTAAAATATTAAATCAGTAAAGTAACAGAAATTCATTAAGGGAGAAAAAATGTAGCCTGAAAATTGATCTATAAAGAGACAATATCTACCTGTAACATCATGCTTTCCAAACAGTGTCTACAAGGTGAGCTTTCCAACCTATAACAATGTAAAATAACATTATATCAATGTCACAGCACAATGATACATGAACTGAAACTAAAATAACATTGTATCAATGACAGAGCGGAATTAAACATGTACTAAACCTAAATTTTCCAGTGTTAGACATGAACCTTATTTGCTCTGAATCAAACAAATCGAGACTCTTAACAAGATGTGCAACAAAATATTGTAGATAATTCATAGAACATAAGATCAAGAAAAGAACGAGACTAATGCATACATCCTAAAATAATTTTCACCTCTGTTTTATTTTCACTTACAATTTTGTATAAATGGTTTTCCATTTCTTTACTTTATAATGTGGATTAAAAAGTGGCCATCTAAGTTTTGTAAATTCCCGCCATTTTGAATCATTGGTCTCCCCTTGTAAGAGCTGCTGCCACCTAGGACAAACCATTCCTGCTGTCCATAATGAAATGTCGTCCAGATACTTGAACACTACCAATAAAACTGTAAAAAAAAATCAATACACTGATATTTCAATCCTGCCAAAATATATATTAAGGTTCACACATCAGCTGCCTACATATATAATTGAAAAATTTCATTCATTGAGTTCAGAGGTTCCCTTTATAACATTTTCTTGGACAAGTTGAATGAAATTATATGATATATGACAGCAAGTTTTTTTTATCACAAAACTAAAAGCATTGAATTTAATAATAATAAAAATAAACATGCTTTGACATTTGACGCACATTCTGTATGCAGTATTTCTAATAAAATAAATCAGTGAAAATGACATCATGAAAATGTTATATATATATATAACTTATATAACATGTGTGTAATATAAAGAAATACATAAAAGTTATATTTTACATGAAAAAACAACCAATATCAGGGTATATAATTATTTTGATATCATTATTATTTGTAACAGTTACTGCACAAATGCTAGCATTGATTGTCTAAAAAATAATAAAAACATGGAGAAATTTCTTGAATTCTATATAAATAATTGGCTTTTAAGGATAATGTCATTTATGATTTATCATTATGGCCATATTTCAATGTGTTAAAATGAGAGTCATCCATAATCCAACAACAAATGATTTCAATGGTCCATGATACTTTGATATTGTTTCTATAAATGACAGGTCTAGATAATATGGCTGCTACCTTCAGGTGGTAAAGAGTCCACCAGTCCCTCGGGCACATGATCTCTTTCCCGTGGTAATGTCAGCATACCAATCCTTTCAGCTAACTTGTCCATCTTGTGGGACACTTGCGATGCTCGCACAGGCGTTGAACTGGTTGGGAGGGGACTGTGATCACAGAAATCTTGCGCCATTTCTGGCTCCTCATTACCACTGTCTCCGGAATCTGCTTTCTGATAGTTACATGTAATTAACATAAATCATTACACAATAGCAATACATATAAGTTTCAATTGCTTACCCACAATTAATCAGTTACATGATACTTTTACTTATATTTTATAGAAGTCTAATTACTATTTATTCCTGTTTGAAATAATTTAAATTTACACAGTAATTATTACTCATGAAAAGCATATCAATCATTATAAAATTTCTGAACTACTTATTTCACATAAATTTACAAAACCACTGCTTTACTTTAGTACGACTGATTTAGATGTAACAGTAAATGAGTACCAGTTTTATATTAAATACAGATTTTCTCTATAGTAGAAAGTAGGAGTACATTTTGATCAAGACTATGACATCTTACAGGGCACTAATCACCTAAGAGGAGAATGGGGCCAAGAATTAGGTATGAGAATTCTATGTCTTTTTTGGAAACGTGGCCTAAATTGGTCCCAATATTTATGAAATGATACATTCTCCTCCAAACATAAATCAATACCAGAGCTTACATTTTCTTCCGATGGTAAATCAATACCTCAGAATACGGATTTTTATTACCTGTTTTCATTTTACTTAAAACATGACTCAATTAACAGACAATACCTCACTTAACATTTTCCTCAATACATAAATCAATACCTCAGTGTAGATATCCTCTTCTCCTTCATCTCTGTTGATGTCTGATGAGAACAAAAACAAGTGACATGTGCTACACACAGGCTGCCCAAAACTTTTACCATAAAAACCCTGGCAAAACATACATGCACTGTACTGTAAATAGACATGGAACAAAGTAATTTAATTTAACAATGCAATTTTTTTAAATAAAATTTTATGTACATTTTTTAATAGAGAGCTTGAAAGCAAGCTTTACGACAATGCGAGTACCTGCTACATAGTGATGGTTTTGAAAACTTTCGCTGAAAGTACTGCACAATTATGGGCAATAGGCCAATCACAACTTTTCAACATACAAGATAAGGATAAAAACTGAGGAATTCTGATTGAAAACAGATGTGTAGACTGGTCTCCTGCGCACTTCTATGGGAACCATAATAGGACAATGAACCAGAATATAGGAAAGCAATGCAAAAAATACTGCATGGCACTTTTAAAATGGAAAATAAAAATGAATTATTATTTTCACTGACTTCCCCGTTATAAATACAGGGAAGTCAAAGGCCCGGACCGCAAAATGGGCCCAGGCTTTGGCTTGCCTGGCTATAGACTACACATGTATAGAGTCATTGAATTTAAGATTTTTAATTTACTGGCCCAAATTCCAGTTTTGAATTTATTCTACCATATATTTTACTAAATTTTCTTAAAATTTACACTGGCCTGAACTAATTTTCACCGGCCATGGGCCACAGGGCCAGTGCTAAATTAGATGACTGTGTATATTTAAAAGGAAATTAAATAAAAAACAAAGCAATTATAGAATTCTATCCTATATATGAACTTTTCAGTGTCAGTTCTAGTTGGACTCCACCATTTTCAATGTAACTCAATGATAATAGGCGGGGTATTTGGATAACAGACAGTCGCAATTTTTCAGATTAATAATAATCGCAGAGCGATGAATTTATGGCACAGCAGCGGGATTGATTTGGAGATTAAGGCACAGCGAGAGCACGGTGCTTAAAGCGTCTGGGGAAAGGCCTGGATGCGTATTTTAGATTTACTATGTGTATTTCACTCTGATCTGCATGCTATCTAGAGCTCTGAATAATTGTTAAGTGTTCAGATTGAAAACAAAAGTGGTGCATGAAATACCAAATGACTTCTTTAAAACGGAAAAATGAATGATTTTTTTAACAGACTTCACAGTTCATAGACTTTGCCTAATTTCATATTACCCATGGCCAAATTATAATCTAATTCCCTGTCCTATTAATATGGTTTCCATCTGTACTCTCTGACAAGTGGATTCAATTTAGATATCATATAAAACATGAAATGGCTGTATATATAGCAGCGATTTTTTTCCCTGAATTGTGAATGGGTCCGGTACCATAAAAATTGTGAAACAAGGAACATCGCAATGCGATGCAACCAGGTTTTCAGCAAAATATTTCACAGAAGCTTTGTCATGAAGGGGCATTTTTTTAATTGAATTTTTAGGAGGAATTATGGCTTTTTTAATATTCCTCAAACAAAAATGATTGAGAAATTTTATTTTGTCTATTCGCCTTTTTTCCCCAAATGTTTTAGAAAGGTAAACAGTACTTTATTTTTGCTTAATTTTGAAGTTGCGCACTGTGAAAAATTGTTCACTATTTATTCTGAATAAGGAAAAAATATACAAAGGCCATAATTCGGTCAAATATTATCCAATCACAAAACCCCGGCAATATGTGCCAGGCACTTGATAACAAAGCTTCTAAGAAAGTTTGGTCAAAATCCTGTTGAGAAATTAGGAGGAGTTGCGCACAGAAGAAATTGTTCACTATATATTCTGAATAAGAAAAAATATACAAAGGGCCATAATTCGGTCAAATATTATCCAATCACAAAACCCCGACAATATGTGCCAGCACTTGATAACAAAGCTTCTAAGAAAGTTTGGTCAAAATCCGTTGAGAAATGTAGGAGGAGTTGCGCACAGAAGAAATTGTTCACTATATATTCTATATAAGGAAAAAAAAACAAAAGGGCAATAAAATTAGGTCAAAAAATATATACCAATTGCAAAAACCCTGGCAATATGTTCAGGGCACTTGATGACAAAGCTTCTGAGAAAGTTGGTCAAAATCCGTTGAGAAATGTAGGAGGAGTTGCGCACAGAAGAAATTGTTCACTATATATTCTGTATAAGGAAAAAAAACAAAGGGCCATAATTAGGTCAAATATATACCAATGTTGCAAAACCCTGGCAATATGTGTCAGGGCACTTGATGACAAAGCTTCTGTGAAAGTTTGGTCAAAAATTCCTTGAGAAATGTAGGAGGAGTTGCGCACAAAAGAAATTGTTCACTATATATTTTATATAAGGAAAAAAAACAAAGGGCCATAATTAGGTCAAATATTATCTAATGCAAAACCCCGACAATATGCGCCAAGGGCACTTGATGACAAAGCTTCTGTGAAAGTTTTGGTCAAAATCCATTGAAGAAATGTAGGAGGAGGTTGCGCACAGAAGAAATTGTTTACGCCCGCCCGCCCGCCCCCACCGACATACCTCTAATCTAATAACCAGTTTTTTTTCCTTCGGAAAACCTGGTTAAAAAATGTTGCGTTGTTTCTTAACAATTGTGAATTTTTTATTAAGATTGTGAAATATCTTATTAAGCAGTAGAAAAACATATAAATTGTGACTTGACTTAAACAGCTTATTGTTACAAGACATTTTTGAATGATGTTTACAGAAATTGCCAGACGCTTGTTTTTGGTATTGATTCGTCCTAGAGCTTTTGTGTATTTTAACAATACGAAAATTTAAAGGGCGAATGCAACGGAAATCATGGTCAGCTAAACACATTTTAAGATAAACAAAGCACAACAGGCAAAATTTTAGCATCATTAAGCGAAGAGAGGAAATAATACATTATTAAAGGCTTAATTATATGGAAATTGTGAAATTTCATCAGAATTGTCTGTTGGACCCAGTCTGAAAATTGTGAAGGTCCTTTTGTGATTGTGAATGGGTCCCTTATTGGGTACCACTAATATAGGGAAAAAAATTGCTGTATAGTGTATGGTTGTGTTGAGTGCGGCCAAAAGTGTGCAAGTGTACTGAAAACCTTAAATGTGTTGCCAATGGGTTTTAATTATAGCAAGCGCGAAGAGCTGGCTCTAGGGCCTGCTCGCAAAGCTAGCTTTAGGGTAATGCGAGTACCTGCTAGATAGTGATGGTTTTAATAACTTTCGTCTGAAGTACTGAATTGACACATCGCAACTTTTTGAATCACAAGATAACGATAAAAGCTGAGGTACTCTGATTGAAATCAGATGTGTAGACTGGAATCCTGCGCAGTTTTATAGGAACCATAATAGAACAGGGACAGGGTGTTCACTTGCCATAAAATCCTGAGGGTCATTTTAATTAAGTTTTACCAACTACAAGGTCAAAACCCATGGTTTTAACAAAATTTGACCCTCCAGTTAAAATCCTGAGGGTCAAATCAGGCTTTTAGGAAATTTGAAGGGTCAAAGAGTCATTTCAAGGGTCAAACGGACACCCTGAGGGAACCAGAATAAATGGAAGCAGCTTTTAAAAGACCGAAAGACAGTTTTAAAACAGAAAATGTAAAATAATTTATTTTTTTTAATGAACGATTATTTTAAACTATTTCACAGTAAAAGTAAATCGAGCTCGCATTGAGGCTTTGCCTTTATCATATTAATGTACTATAATTTCTGTCAAAGCTCCTTTTGAGGCTTTGCTTTATTAGTCCCCTACCGGTTTACCGGAGGGGACTTTAGGTTTACCCTCCATCCATCTATCCGTCCATCCGTCCGTCAACAAAACTTGATCCCGCGATTACGCAAAAAGTACTGAAAATATTTTAATGAAACTTTATATATGGATAGATGGCAGTATGGAGATTATGCACGTCTTTTTCTTTTCTTCCTATGTTGAAAATTCTGGTTGCTATGGCAACAAATAGACTGAAAATATGGCAAATTTTACACATAACCTGGATCCAGTGATAACGCAAAAAGTACTGAAAATATTTTTATGAAACTTGACATATCATGTCAATTCTAGTTTACAATGTAACTCAATAATAATAGGAAGAGTATTCTGATAACGGAACAAATCTCAACTTTTCAGATACATAATAATCATCGAGTGTTCCGAATGAAAACGGAAGCGGTGCGAAAAAAACCAAATGACACTTTTATCACGGAAAAAAGAAAGGAATTTTTTTAATGAATTCCCCGTTCAAAGGCAGGGTGTTCATTTGACCCTTGAAATGACTCTTTGACCCTTTAATTTTTTCCAAAAAGGCTGATTTGACCCTGAGGATTTTAACTTCCAATTTTGTTAAATTCATCAGACTTTGTCCTTGTAGTTGGTAAAACTTAGTCAAAATGACCCTCAGGATTTCATGGATAGTGAACACCCTGATAGGCTTTGCCTAATTTCATATTAATACTCGTGCCTGTTGAAACAACCCATCAACATGAATAAGTTGATATATTCTTTGTATTATGTTGAGCACTGTTGAGAATCAGAGCACAATCTAGCAAAATTTATATTAAAAAGAGTCCCTTCTTTTATAGCGAGCTCAACGAGCTGGCCCAAAGTGCCTGCTTGCAAAGCGAGATTTACAGTAAAGCGAGTACCTACAGAAGCGTCACCTGGTGTCCTGCTCACTTATACGGGGAAGTCAAAGGCCGGGACCGCGAAGCCGGCCTGGGCTTTGGCTTGCCCGGCTATAGACTACACGTGTATATTTCAAAGAAAAACAAATAAAAATCAATTAAAAAAAATATATAGAATTCTATACCTATCAATGAAATTTTCAGTGTCAGTTTTAGTTGGGCGCCGCCATTTACAATATAACTCAATGGTAAAAGGTGAGGTATTCCAATAACAGGCAATCGCAACTTTTCGGATTAATAACAATCATCGAGTGTTCCGAGTGAAAACGGAAGTGGTGCATGAAATACCGAATGACACATTTAAACGGAAAAATAAATGATTTTTTAACTGACTTCCCTGTTCATAGGCTTTGCCTAATTTCATATTATAGGAACCATAATAGAAAGGGGGAACCAGAATAAATGGAAGCAGTGTAAAAAATACCGAATGACAATTATAAAACGGAAAATGTAAAATAAAAATGAACAATTATTTTAAACTATTTTACGGTGAAGAAAATAGAGCTCACTTTGAGGTAGTGTTGGGTATCGGACTCAAAAATCACTATCGATAATCGGACCACCACAATCGATTGTCTGCCGATAGTACCATCGAGTTTCGTACTTATAATGGCCCTTTTTTAGTATGATTTGCTCTTTGAATTCAAAACAAACAACACAAATACCTAATACTACTTTGTGACAGTCAATTTTTGTAAATACAACTTTATGGCAGTCAATATTAGTACTAGTCAACAAGTTTAAATATCAATGAGTAGTATTGTAGATCACTAATTTAACTACAGTAGATATACAAGTTTGTAATGTTATGTCACTACACACTATAATTTTCTAAAGTAGTATTACCAGATGTTAAATAGGTTTTGAATCAGTGATTTCTTTTACTGTATTTTACAGCCGAATAAAGGCTGTTTCCCCTAGCCCAAAAAAGGTATAATTTCCCCTACAAATGCTACAATTTCCCCTTAAATGCCTCGTGCACTTCCTTAGCAGAACCATGACTTAACAGCATCTGATTTATATCAGCTAGAAGACAGAAAGCTGTCCTTGTAGATAGCTACTGCTATGTACCATGCATGTCAAATTGAATTGAAAATGAAAATTTTACAGAATGTGTTGGTAAATTCCATTTTCAACTGTCGGAATTTGATTTCAAGTTTTTCCCCCTTTTCTGATTTATCGCTCTATATTTTCCCCTTCAGAGAGCCACAGGTTGTTTTGAAAATTGGGAAAAAAAATCACTGTGAATACAAAAAATACTTTAAAATTGTCTGGAGTTAAAGAGATTCAGTCGGGAAACTTCTTTTTGACTGCATGTAAAAAAATTACACCATAGGCAATTCAGCGGTGGAAGAGTCATTAAAATAATCGATTTTTAAAAAAGACTATCAATTGTTGCCGATTATGGGGTGGTCCGATTAGTTATCGATTTTCAGAGACAATCGGGACAACACTACTTTGACTGTTTTGAGGCTTTGCCTTTTTCATATTATGAGACTTATTCAACATCTTTATGGATCATGCACTTGTCATGTGATATACTAGACCTATCCATAAGGAGGAAGATCATGTTCTGTAGAATTTATTGCAGTATACGGACAGTGTAGCAGATTTGTTTGTCAATTATTTTCATGTTAAAAAATTATATAAACAAAAAATTCCAATCAGAAAATTTTGTTAAACGTTGCATCTTCAGAATAAGAACTTTACAAAAAGCCAAAACGAATTAATGTTGTGTATGCATACCTCAGATTGGAGAAATTCTTCTAAATTATTGGATAAATTACAAATTTGCATGGAAGTCGCCATTTTTATTGTGCGTCTGTAATTTTTACTTCAACGTATTAATCACTTAAAATAATTTTTTTCCGTTACGAACACGAGACGTACCGTAGACAGGTATAAAATCCGTAAGAAACATTTTTCTATATAGAGAAACCCTACTTAAGACCAACTCAGAATTAAGACCCCTGCCTTATTAGACCAGTTTTTAAAAGATGGTTGCATGACCTCATGCATCAGATTTGTGTCAGTTAAGATTTCCCTTTTAGCCAGGATATGCCATGACTGGTTGTGCAATAAAGGTTAGTGTAACAATCAATGCACATTGTACTGATAATTAAATGACAGGTCTCTTTTGAAATCTATGATTCTCTGCTAGAAAAAAACATATATTTTTTCTTTTTTTTTCGCAATGAAGACTAAGGACATATATTTGTACAAACTAAAAAATGTCCACCAAAAATTCTCTATCTCACGTTAGTTCACAAGGAACTGTCCTATAGTCATACAATGGATTTTAATGGTTCCTTAAGAAACCAGTTAAAAGGGGAGCAGTAGTCTACAGGTTATGGTGTCTGCCTCCCAACCTAGGGATTGTGGGTTTAAACCAAACTATGGTCAAGACCATCTCTTCATATGACACCAGTCCTGGTTAGTTCGAGGAATAAATCAAAAGTGATTAATATATACAGTTGCACAAACTTGTCTCTCAAAGAATCCAAGGAGCCATTAAATGTAAAATATCTACAGAGCAATTTATCAAAATTTGTTCAGTAGAGCTAGCTCTTTTTCTCAAGGAACAAAGCTGAAGGATCCTTGAGATCATGTCATCTCTGGCAGAACAATACTTAATTATAGAACAATCTTGCAATGAGCTTGTGCAAAGCTAAACCTTTTACATCATATAGACGTGTTTTGACGGCTTTTTGCCCCTCTTATTTTTGAGGCCTCAAACAGTGAAAAAAATGCCCTATTTGTGCCCCATTGTTTTTTGTTTGAGGTATGTTGTTAAAAAAGGTGACCACTTTTTTGGAGCCCCCCCCCCCCCATCAAAATGGTACATCAAGGGGTTTGCCAGAAGGGAGATGTGCCCCCTTCTGTTTGGGGGGTTTGAAAGGGGGGGGCTGTCCCCCTCATCGCCAAGAAAATTTTGACCATGTGACAGGCTAAAAATGGCCTCAGGTCGATCTTAGGGTAAGTAACTAGTAACCGACGCTGAAAAGCCTTTTACTCTATCTGAATTCAATTCAGAAGTTGCAGCACTTTGAAATCAGTTTTGATGAAAAAAACAATGCAAAATTGTGATTTTTCGCAATTTGAGACGTCCCCCTGTTGCCATGTTAACAGGAAATTTACAATTGAGCATGCTGTTACAGAGGCTATGGTCCAGTCATTATATTTGTGCCAAGTTTCATCAGTATTGAAGCATTTTTCATAGCAGTTTGAACTTATAACAGGAGGCGTTTCAATGAAAACGGCCATTTTTCACAATATGCTCATGGGGTAAAAGGTTAAAAACTTTTCTGACCAGAGGTTTTGTTTGTTTGTTTGTTTCATTTTACGCCTTTTTCAACAGTATTTCAGTCATATAGGCGGGTAGTTTCCTAACCATCGTTCCTGGAGAGTTACACCAGTACTAGACTACCTTTCTCCGCGCTAAACTACCAAAGCATCTCCCGGGGATCGAACCCACGACAGAGAGGTAACTGGATTAGAAGTCATCGACTCTAACCCCTCGACCACGGAGGCGGTCTGACCAGAGGTTGCAGACATATTAAACAACATGTGAATTTTTGACAATACAATAGAATATACATCAACAAAAACCTTTGATTCTTGTGAATTAAAAAACAACAGAAGAGTATTTCAGTAAAACAGTACTTTATTTAGAGACCATCATTTAGAACAAAATATATAGTTTATGTACAGAATTCATAATTAAATAAAAACAAATAATTGCTTACAACATATGGTATTTCTGCTTAGAAGACCGGAGATCACAATTTTAGATGTTTAATTGTGACCATTATTAAAAAAAACAAATTTTGTTATTTAGGTCAAATATTATGCTAGGCATAGATTGGAATACTTAATCTTACTCAAGACCTGCAACAACCTGTCAAATCATAAAGGCAAGCCTTAATAATATCTTTGTTTCAATAACTCTCACAACCCATGCCAGTTTCAGTAGGGTATATAGGTAGGTAATTTTTTTTTTTACTTGAACTGATTTATATTGGATATATTATTTATAATTGTATAATGGTATGAAGAACTAAGCATCTGTTTAAAGTTTATTTTAGTTTTATTCAATATCTTTCGATATTTGTACATTTACAATGCAAATTTAAAGATGGAACTGGCATTGACCGACTGATTGGATGATTAAAAATAAAATAAAAAATAAAAATCTTTTGTTTGGCTATAAATGGGTAGTAGAGCGAGCAGGTGGGGAATCAAAATTTTATTTTAGGCTAAATCTTAACAATCCTTCAAATACTGACATATTTTTTTTTTTTTTTTTTGGGGGGGGGGGTGGGGGGGGGTGGAGATTACATACATTGCTTCATTGCATCAAAACAATATAGGTCATATGGCGACTTTCCAGCTTTACAGGATACAAAAGGGCACCTGAGCAGAACCACTGCCATTCTGTGAGGTAGCTAGATAGCTAAATCCAAAGTCCCTTTCTGTATTCCAATCCAAAGCAAAGAGGGGCAAGTGGATTGAAGTCAACGTTCTTTACTACTTGGCCACAGTAGACATAATAATTACTCATTTCAGTAAAATAAAAAATAATATAAAAACATTTACATGTTGTTTAGCATGATACAAATCTGTAATCATAGACATTAAAATGTTCAAATTGTTTAAAAAGATATATACAAAGGTAAAATTTAGGTTATTCCTTATTTTGCTGAATCATCTTAGTTTAAAAAATTCCTGATGTCAATGACTTGTGATAACAACTGGAGTATGCCAGGAGTACATAGGTAACCAAGACTGTGGGCCCCGACCTTTATTGTTGGCACCTTCATTTAGGCTTCTAAAATTGCTTCTGAATTTAAACCTTGAAAAATAACAAATGAACAATTTCATATTCAATTCAGGACAGGTCTAATGTAAGAATTCATTGACATGCTTGTCAATTGATAAATAGTAGAACTTTACATCAGAAGCTTAAATTTGAAGTATAATTAATCTGAACACAGTGTAAACTCCTCCACACATCACTATAACAATATCCCTCTGTACTCTTCAATTCTCCCCAGCTCAAATCTCATTTTCAACAGACTGGTGAAGTTATCTCTATTAAATTTGACAGCTACTTAGTCTCATTAGCATTCGCTTGTCCCTCGCTTTCAACTTTCCCCTCATTTCCAGCATCATTTGACTCTCCATTCAAAGATTCGCTACCATTTCCCTCCTCTATTTCATCAGCCTCGGCCCCTCGGGATTCCTCGGTCTCTTTATTCCATTGCTCTACTTCAGCTTCATCACCAGACGGCACTCCAACAGGTGTTTCTGTACCAGCTACCGAAGATGTATTTGAGTCCCTCGATAACTTCATTTCCTGGACTTGAGCCTCTATATAGATAAATAGATAGCGAGATGCTAAATGGTTGATTAAAATGTTGCAGGTTTTATATTCATAGTTCATGAAGTTGTCAATTAAAATCTCATTAAAGTCAGTTGTTTATGCTCTGATTTTCTACCTAGCAAAATGAAGTGGAGCATCCGTCACAATATGATTTTAATGAAATTATGAAGTTGTGAAAGCATTAAGTAAACATCACTCAATACATGATAGCAATATATACATACCCTGATTTGTAATTTATATCAAATGATCTTGGTTTCAATTAATCTAATTTTCTAACGAATCTACAAGAATGGCGCTTTCCGTTGTCATCCATGAATTCTAATATCAAATCTACTGTTCAACCAATGATAAATGTACCTTTAAATTTTCTACCAATGTAAAATTAAAGACACTGACATTATTCCATTTTCTAGCTTTAAATTGAAAGCCAATATATACAGAGACGCCAATTTTCGTGAGCCAAATTTATTTTCTTTAGCATGACTTATGTGGCTGCCAAAAAGAAGACACACTGTTATGTCATATTTTACATTTTATTAATGAAACCAACAAACATTGAAGAAATTATTCTTCATTTCCCAACAGTTTCAACATTACTCACGTATATCTGTTAACTCCACCCCACACAGTCGGAGGTAATGTGACCTCTCATCCTTCCCGACAAATGACCTCACCGACGTCTTTCCTCGCCAACCGCAGAAAATAATCTCAACATTTGGCTCTGGATCACTGAAAACATACATACATCATGAAACTTACAAATATATTTAATTTGGATCTTTGTTTTAGATTTAAGTATATGTACCTTACAGTTTTTCAGTCAAATACTAGCCACCAAAAGGCAGTTAACCTAATAAGCCTTCTATTATTTTGTATGGTATACATTGAACATCGACAAATTGTTGTAGATTGACTCCTAGAATTAATTTCAAGAATCTAAAGTCTCAAAATTCTGAAGACATAATTTAATGATCCACCATTTAGACTAGCTGCATTACAACAATGCCAAATTTAAAAATCATCATTTTTAATCCCTGCAACAAAGAAATATGCAGTTATTCAAAATCTTGCAATCAATTCAACAAGGTGTTATGATAAAACCATAGAGATATCAGAAACATACATGACCAACTCATTATTATATTTTACTTATTTTACAACTTCACATCTTTATTGTGATATTAGTAATAATTACTGGTAGTATTAACAAAACTTATAGAAACAAAATAATAAGCAAGCATACCTTTCGCTAGGTTTGAAATGAAAAAGAGTGCTGCCAGGGTCTGAAATGAAAGAATAAATTTCATCTTATAATGACTGACTTCAAAGAAAATTATAATTTGACTTGTGATCTCACTTCATGGAAATGATAAAAAAACGTGATCTCACTTCATAGAAATGATAAAGAAAAATGTGATTTCACTTCATAGAAATGATAAAGAAAATCGTGATCTCACTTCATGGAAATGATCAGGGAAATTATGGTAAAATGCTCTATAAAGTGAAAATAATGTTCAAAACTTAATGGCAAAAATTAAAGAGTAAAGCTACTGCAATGTAAAGGCTGTTTACATCAATAAAGCATAACATGTTTAAAATCAGCTTTAGGGATTTTCAATATTAGAACACATACATTAAGCTGCTAAAGGTATAAAGCCTGGTCGGACTGCACACCGGTCTATCTCTATATAGATGACATTGGCTTGCAATTATCACTTTAAGGATTCAGAAATTTATTCCTTACCCATAGCATATACACTCTCCTGTGCTGAAGGTGACAATTTACAGATGAACGGGTTTTCTTGACTAAGAATTGTAATGATATCTTGTTTGGTCAGGGATACACGTCTACCTCTAATGTGTTGATGTATTGCTAACAATCCCTGATAATGATGAATAAATGCATATGTAATTTTTATATTATAAATGAACTACAAACTGTTTAAGTTAAAATAAGAAACATTAGAGAGGGTCAAGTGGTGTATGTGTGTTTCACAACCCAGGGATCATGCATTTAAACCTTATTGCCGTCACAACCATGTTTCCTCATTTGGCTTTAATACCAGTCAATTCAACCAATGTTCAATTAAGTTTTGTTTGTTTAGTTTTAACGCCACATTCAACATTATTTTGGTCATATCTTGGTGATCTGTCCCCCTAACAGATTTTTCTGAATAGCTAACCACTAATTACAAATAGCTCTACATTAGATTAGATATAAGGAACAATATTACAAACCAACTGTCACAGAGAAATTTCATCTCTCCAGAGGATGGAACCATTTTTTTTTAAACTAACAAATATTTTCACAAAAAGAAATGTCCAATAATTCTATCAGTACACAGGTTAACAGTAAACTACAACTTTCAATAATTCACACATCAGTTCTACTTTTCAATATAAAGTATGAATATTATCATATGTATTTCTTACATCTTGAGAGAGTCTGAAATCACAGTCTGGTACAAGAGGCGACGGTGCATTACTGAAACATTTCACACCTAGATTGATGAACTGAAAAAGACAAAATTCATTCAAAACATTGAAGTAAAGATTTCATAGCAATCTACAATTGGGATGTATCAATCAAGTATTCAATCAATGCAAAATAACAAAATCATGTCACAGAATAAGATGTGATATAACAAGCCAAAGGAGGGGAAAAGGAGCATTACGACAATTTTCAGACAAATATTTGGTTCATTATGGCTGTGTATATTTGATAATCTGAAGATATTTTTATAAATATTCAACACCCAGTCTATGTAAAAGTTCAATATTTCAAATGATATGGAAGTTTGTTTTTTCTGATTTAAACTCAATATTAACACATTTTGGTGATATCTAGGTGGTCAATTAACCTTACTGGTTTTCCTGGATAACTAACCAGTAATTACCAATTTCTCTGCAAGTGGCTGACTTGTAATCCTGAATGATTACTGAATCAGCAGTTTTTAAATCCTTAAGTCACACAGTAAGTTACCTTAAGTTACTGTCATAATTCTGTCAAAAGCCTTGTTAGAATTGTATGGACAGTGACCTCCTATTATGCTCTTATGTATTTAGTTTCAATCCATTAGTAGTTTTGGACACACCAACTTGCACACAAAAACTAAACCAAAGTGTGACCCCGACACCTGGGTGAGTACAATATCTCTCCCTATTCTGTGTTTAGTCGAGCTAAAAATGTATATAAATTAATGTTTGAACTGACCTTGACACGTTCACTGTTACAGATGACTAGGTTACGTATTGGTTTAGAGACGTAATACAGAATACGCTTCATATTCCTATACATGATCTGTTCTATACCTAAATCTTCTGATATTTCATAAAATTGCCTGAAAATAAACAATAACAATTAACTTACTATAAACATGCATTCCATCTTCATCTAATCAAATTTACTGTACATATTTTCTACTTTTGCATCAAAGAGACTTGTAGACAGTATAGATCATGTTGAAGTGAAGCATCTAGGAATACCAAATGATTTTTCTATGACTCGCCAAGGACTAAAAATCATGCCACTCAAAGGTGAATATGGAGTGAAGAAAATCTGTATGAATTTTGTATGTATACATGTAATAACTCTTTTAGCTAACTTAATAACTTGTATATTTCCTATATTATGCCATTTATAGCTTACAACCTTTATTTTCTATGCATTTTGTGTAAATACTTTTTAAATAATTTTATCGCCTTACTGTATACTGGGCCATATAGGATCATTTTTCGAGCAGAACAGGAACGGGTCTTCTTTATGTCCGAACATGACCAATTTTATCTCCTCTTCTTTACTCTCCACCCTCATTTTCTTAGCTGGTGGCGGCCTGGAACATAACAAGAGCATCGTTAAACAATATGTTTATCAATAATGCAACAACTTTTTTGAATATCATTAAAACAAATGTGAAAGGTGTGAACTAAGCCATAAATTCCGGGAGATCATGTTTCAGTCATGAAAATATATCAAACAACAGTAAATATTGCAGACTTAAATCAGATCTTGAGGTAATTAGAGATTTCTCAACAGCAACAAAAATATTATCAACTTTTCAAGCTTGTTTGTATTTAGCAACAGTTTTTTTAGAACAAACTACCTTAGTAAAACACATGTACAAAAATCTTGGAATAAGTTAACACACTGAAGTTGAGGAAAATTTATACCAGCAGAGAAGTTTCTGACAAGTCCTCCAAAAAAGTTGCTCCTATGCAATTAACTATAGTAAAACCTCATAATACAGTAAATAAATTTTCTTAAGCCTGGCCTGCTTTGCTTTATGATCATCTCTTTAAATTTAAACAAGACATTCAAGAGCCCTTAAAAACAAAAACCAAAATTCAAACACACACAAAAAGAAACAACAACTTTAAGAACACATACTTATCATCAGTTTCATTGTCCCCACTTTTCTGCGGGTCCCCACTTTTCTCTGAGTCCCCACTTTTCTGTGTGTCCTCACTTTTCACAACTTCATTTTTATTGTCAGTATCTACATTACTATCACTCTTCTCACTATTATCTTTAACTTTATCCACATTCTCTGTCCTATCAGAGTTATTACTTTCATTCTGTTTATCAACAGTGTCCTCAGTTTTTATGGTGTCAGTATTCTGTGTTTCCATGGCAACAGGTGCAGCGTCAGTGTTCTCTGTTTTAACCTCATCAAATTTTTGTGCTAAGCTTTCCTTCTCTTCTAATGATTCTGGAAATTGAAGGAATTTCATAAAACAATTTTTAGTTAGGTTTGTAATAATTGTAATCATACAGACATTGTTAAGATCTTGTTGAAAATAGAAAAGGTACTAAAAAATACAAAAATGTCACAAAACTGTACAAATATATTTCAGCATTTAAGAACTTTAAACATTTGTTTTGGCAAAACATAAACGTCACTTAAATGACCTTGAATATCACTGCTGATTTTTCAGAATTCCAGGGAATTTCACCATAAATTTGTTATCTCATCAGCAGAACACAGTCTTTTTTATGTATTATGATTGCCACTTAATTCAAGGCTTTTGTCTAAACATTAGATTTTTAATAAAAGAATAAATTCTCCATAAACTTATAATTTATTCAACAGGACAGGGTCATTTGTTTTTTCAGAACGCCACCTAAAAGACTGTCTTATGTACAATACTTGGGACAGAGGTACTTGTGTTCTAGGACTACATCTTGTACTAAAATGGTCTTACTTCTATCCTCAACCTCCTTCTTGTGTTTCCTGCCCGCTAAATGACTGTTATAGTCATTCCTGCCCTGTAGTTTTGCATTACACAAGTTACACCTGGCATATGTGTAAAGTCCACCATGGTTCCGCACGCCAAACGTGAAGTGTTCAGACCCTTTGATTTTCTTCTCAGCCTCATCAAGTCTTACTTTTGGGTTGATTATTGGGTCAACACGTCCTTAAAAGAAAGTGATTTTTTTTGCAGTTTGGTGTATTTTGATTAACGTAACAACCACCTAGTGTATAATTTGTAACAAAATTCTCCACAAGGATTGTAATCTTGACTAAGCCATGAAGGGGAAACTAGGAAAATTACCCAAATGAAGAGACAATACTTATTCTTTTCAGAAGCAACTTACTGACATATCTAAACATGTTTAACACTATGTATCACTCTAAAATCTTAATTTCATATTTCTTAAATCAATTATATGTTACCAACAAACATTATTTTCGAATACTCTTTTGCAAAGCTGTAAGTCACACTGATATTGAAAAGGTCATATATTGTCACCTTCAACTTTATTGGTAGCCAGTGACCATAGGTGCCCCTACATGCATTATTTGAGGCATTAGACGGCACCTTAGAAGAACCACTGATTTTTCTGTAAGTCTGCTGGATGGTCTTCCCACATGAAATAAACTTGACATTCCCGGTGAGATTCAAACCAACACCAGAAAGAAACAATTGATATGGTTTTTACATAATTTATTTTAGCTCGATCGAAATCCGTTACTGAGCAATGAAAGTAAAATTTCTTGCTCAAGGAAACAACGACTTGCCCCTGACTTGGTTTAAACCAAGCGAGCGATCATTAGATTACTAGTCTGATGCTTTAACCCTTCGGCCATGCTGCCACTTTAGGCAAATGATTTGAAGCTGGCTACCTTAACAAATGCAGCTTCCAGAAAAAAATATCAAATATCAAAAAAATATATGATTACAGTGAAATTAAGAAAACATTTAAAACATTAGTCATCTTTACAGAACTAAGCAGAATGATTTAGACTGTTGTAAGAGATATACATACTGTTGACTCTACCAGATGACCATGGTAATTCTTGTGTTTTATGTATCACAGCTATAAAGAAAGCTCCAGTGTTCTGTTGATGTGGTAACACTCTTATACTGGAAAATATATCAATATTCTATTGTTAATAACAACTACAAAGATAAATACTAAAAGGTTAATATAAATACATGTATATACATGTATGTACATGTATATAATTATAACAGCGAGAACATTTGTCGGAAATGTGAAAACAATGTGATAATTTTTTTGATATACATGTATATAAATCGTAACCAACATTCAGTCATGTGAAAAATTTAAAGGTCTTAAAATGAATTACCTACTACCTGTTTTTTTTCCATTTTACATTTGGTTTTATGTCGCACCAACACAGTATATGTCATATGGCAACTTTCCAGCTTTATTGGCGGAGGAAGATCTCAGGTGCCCTTTCATGCATTAGTTCAGGCACAAACGGGCACCTAAGCAGAATCACTGACGTTCCTACCTGTTCAGACAGTGACTGACCCGAGACTGACCTGAGTAGAATGTTCGAGCTACCACAAGCTTTCACAAGCCAGATAGACTGCGTCCTCACTTCTTATGTAAAATTAAAAATTCAAAGTCCAGTATACACCTCATTTTATATATACAAAACTATTTACAGACACCATACTAATACTACCACATACCATCTCTCTAATTTGGCGTCCTGTGCCTCTGTTATGATTGGAGGATAGATGGTACTGTCCCACAGGGACTTGAAATGTTCCGGAGCTTGTTCTTCTGTTTCATACCACTCTCCTTTCTTTGTCATAACCTGTAACAAAATAGTGACAACCACTTATTTATTATACATAACAACATAACCAAAGAATAAAGAATTAGAATATATATATATTTCATTCCCATCCAGTTATTTTCGTTTATGTGGTTAAATTTTATTTTCTAATATTTTCTGCCAAATCATTTTAACTTAATTCTAGTACAAGTTTTACCACCAAAGAAAACTGATGATCACTTATAGAATATTGAACATATTATGACTACATCAATTTGAAATTTACATTATGAACAAGAAATCACATTGGCATTCAAATTATAACTTTTTTTTTTTAATGACTTTTTATTCCACATGGACAGGAAGTAAACAGTATAAAACACTGTCAATGGTTTTGTGTTGGTTAAAAGTTTTCCTTAGCTTAACAATATCACAATATAATATCAATGGGAAACAAGAATTTGTAACAGAGTTACCAACGTCCCCCGCCTCGGGGAAGTTTTACATGAAGCATAAAATTGTGCTATTTCAAAAGATTGAGGTATGGATCTAAGGACTTTCAGTCCAAAATTATGATAAATGCTAGATCTGCAAATGCAACAATAAATTTATTAAAGAAATAAAATGAATGTTAAGCTTTGACCTCTTAGTGTGACATTGACCTTGGAGGTAGGGGTCCAGGTGTTGTGCATGACATATCGTCTTATTATTGTAACTATTTGTACCAAGTACATTTATTTTCAAAATCCCTTGAACTATGAAGAAGTTATAGATGGGACACAAAATATACCCTCTAACAGGCTATGTTAATATTTGACATCTGAGTGTGACCTTGGAGGCAGGGACCAATGTTTTGGACCTGACATATCGTCTTATTAT